AAACACTGTAATTCCACTTACCACTATTACTTCCTATAGACTGCAGCCACACAGCATACAATGTGTGCATGTAGCTCAAAGAAAAATGTGTATGCATGTATGCATATACAGTATGTGTGTATGTATTTAAAACAAATAATGTTTAAATCATGTTTAAACATTATGTGTAGCTAAATAAAGTTTATGTCCATCAACATTAGCTGCATAAATGCACACACATACACACACACAACCCAAGTGACTATAATTAGTATTATAAACCACATTTGGACACTGGAGGACACGTGCCAAATGAAAATGAGCCTATTCCTTTCTTTTCAAGGATCTGTCACTTTTTCTATTTAAGAGGTGCCCTGAACTTTTCCTGCCTCCTGGTCAGAAGACGCGTGCTAACTGCGCCCTCTCTCAAGTCCTCTTCATCTTTATCCATTCCTCCCTACTCTCTTGGGCTTGTTTTTTCCCTCTCATCTCTTTCCTTCACCACTCTCTCTGCTCTGTCCCCCTCATTAGGGTGTCAGATCTCATTACAGAAGGAACACAGAAGATTTAAAGGGGAAAGCATATTGGTTTACTGGTTTGATGCAAACCCTGTTCATATGTCTTTCTCTCGATTATACTGTGCATGTGTACTATATGTGCACATTTAACAATGGCAAAAGGGACCAGTGCTATAGAGCTGCAATTTCAAACAAAAATAATCCTGCTTTGGTGTTTGAGAAACATCATAACACACACACCCTTGTGCTTATGTAACACAGTAGATCCCTTGTCCTGGAAACTGCATGAATTTAATTGTGTGTTCACATTTTTGTGATTCCTATAACACTACAGCTATCACTGCATTTATCAAAAAATGGAGTCAGAAGAACAAAGCAAGAAAGAATGAGGCAGAAGCCACGCTGCACCAGACCAAAAGGTATGCCAAAACTTTAAAGATTATGCAAGGAATTTATGCAGAGATGTGAACATCTCGCTTTTTTTTCATATACACTTATGGTAAAAACCTATGGCTTAAGTTAACTTTAGAATATCCAAGATGAGGCTCATAATTTGCTTTGTTTTTCGGAGTGGATGCTGAATAAAGCACTGCCCATGGAGCTGTCTGGCTGGCAGGCGATAAGACAAAAGCACAAAATTACAGGACTGACCATAGTAGTATTTCTGCAGTGACAGAAAATGTGGTGTAAAACATTTGCCAAGTATGACACAAAATGCAAATTCATATTTTTTCTCATACAGCTTTATGTCATTTGGTTATCTGGTTGCGTTAATGGCTGATAAAATTTGAACTTGTTACTTACTGTGACTTATTGATTAATGATTGTAGAAGAATGTGTGTCTGTCTCCCCTAAAGATACTGGAGGGAGCAATGTTAAACTACATAACACCCCTTATCAACAGCAATACTTCAACCTGGCTACTAGATGCACCTGACAAATAGTCGTGGCAGTGAATCTACCCATTCTCGCTGTCGCCACCTGAGCTACATGCAGGTCTGATGATGGGCTATTAAAGAGAAAAAGTGCCACATCCATTCAGAGCCGCTGTTATTCCCAGTGGTCACAGTCATTAATACAGACCAAGATAGCGTTCGTGAAATAAGGAGGTAAGGTACAAAGGCAAAACTGTAAGAGCAAAGGCAGGAGGGGAGGAAAAAAAAAGGAGAAAACAAGAAGGGAAGGTCAGAGGAAAGGAGGGAAAGAGAAGGAAGGAATGAATAAACGTGAAAGAGTTAAAGCAAAAGATTTCACTGATGCACTTCACTGGGCACCGTCCTCTGAATTATTGGAGACTATGATAGATAATATAAAGGAGAAGGATATAAAAGGTAGTAATACATATAAAAAAATGAAGAAAATAATAGGAAGCAGAAAGAAAGAGAGGTCACTCAAGAGAATAGAGAGCGCGAGGCCGATGTCAGAAACAGGGAGACTGTAACAAAAAAGACTGTAGGCTGATTTCAAAAACACACAATGTCTTTTTGGAAAAATAAACAAGTGTCTTAACCACATCCTGAGGCTTCTTCTTGCTGTGATTATTCTTTGTACCATAATGCATGTGTATGCACGTGTCCGTTAGAGACGCTGTGACCATGCAGGAATAATCGCTTGAAATAGGCCACATTAACCTGCAGTCCTCTGGGGCACTGGCCTGGTTTAATCCAAGAATGAAACACTGCACGCCACTGCCTACACACATGCATAGTGAAAAGACACACAGATACCCACTCATACTCACACAATAATATTGTGCTGAGCATGGATATGTGCTGGGAATATAGGATAGAAACAGAGGATGCAGAGGGTGAGATAACCGTGACTAAGAAAAACCGAAGAAGGGTGTTTGCACGTGGGAGGGAGCTTTGACCAGATACTGACACACACACAGTCACACAGGTGGAGCAGATGTTAAGTAGCAACTTATTTTTAGATTTTCCTCAGTTGTATTTATATCAGGTGACAATGATGTTAATCGACAGTAACACCAAGGCCAACCATGAACATAAAGTGAACTGAGCTGTGACAGACAGACAGCTGTTCTAAACTGGACCTGACTGAATTGTCAAGTGTGTTGTCAAACTGCTGTCCACTGCACTGCAAGAAAATGCCAGCAGACTGCCCACGACTACAGGTCTGTTTGTTTGTTGGTGTTCTTACTAGGTGGAGGAGACTGGTAGTAGTTACAAGTTCCTCAAAATATAAAGTAAATCATCATCCAAGAGCCGCACTCTTCAAAATACAATTGCAGGTGACTGTGTATTGAGGGTAGGTAACTGAGCCAAGGATGCAGCACGTGCTGGTTGTTTTTTTTTGCCTCTTACAAAATTATCAATTCCAAGTCTTACAAACTTACCAATTTGATTAAATTAGCCTTGACCCCACTATGTGTCTACTTTATTTGCTTTTTCTTCATGTCCTGTTCGCTCCCTGTTTCTCATCTCTTGTCTCTCTGTTTTAAACTGGGTCAGGAAACAGCTACTGTAAAAAAAACAACAGTGCATGTACAATTAAGTCCCTTAAATTGCTTTTGTTGTATCATGCAGCTCCTCTTCATAGTTAAGTGTCCAGCTAAGTAATGTGGTGGCCCACGCTCTCAATGAATGCTGTGAGCTTCATTTGACTGCAAGTGCCTTGTTTAAATTGGCCTTGAATTAGCCTGACAATGTGCACCGTATATATACCCACTGACTACAGCTTTGCACATTTTGGAGTGAAATACAGCACAAACGTCTCCCTTCTCTTTCCCCCAAAGGAATGACTTATAGCATTAATTACATTGATCCATGCCAGCTTAATGAACCAATAATGTGAGGCTGCCATTGCCAAGAAAAGGCACAATGACATAATTAATGACTTACTGTTCACCATGTCAGGAAAGCCCTTATCAGTTCTCTATGTGCTATCACTCTGTGCATTATGAATCCTTATTAGACAACCTCCCCAGTCACAGCACATACTGTTCATGTGACTAAGAGCAAGCCTTCATACAATGGCACGGTAACTTCAAGGTGCGATTCGTCTTTGTTGTGTTGATTTACCACTGTAGTTACATGGGCCAAGCGCAGTACGGCTACAACTATGTATGGGGTGGAAAAGGCTCATGCTGCTATACTCTGATGGAGAATTTAGCTCAAACAACACGAGACAATCTATTAAAATACTGTATTATAGGAGAAGCGTATTGTAAACCTCAAGCGTTGCAATTAAATGTACATGGCCTAATCCACAGTCTATTGATTTTTGTAGCTGCAGTGCAAATTTCCTTTGTGAGTTTTCTTATACCCATCTATTGAAGCTACAAATACAAGGCACAGTAAATTATAGATAACAGTGGATCCTCTCTGTACACTTCTAAAGCCCACTTATTTAATTAATTCCTGCTTGCAAAGACAATCTTATCACTGTATGCACTGTTCAGAATTTCAGCGACAGTAATCAAAGCAATATCCCACAAGAATAAGAGCAAACCCAATGACCCCCTAACTCTGAAATGTGCTTCAAAAGCTATGCTCTGTGCTTAAAGGCAATTCTCACTCCTTTCAAGTGAGTCAAACTGATCAACTCAAACGCTGGTCTGGAGTGGCATATTTACTGCTATGATTCTGACCCAAATGCTAATGATAGCTATTAAGGCTAGGCTGGTTAATGACATCGAGGGAGCTGTGAACGTGGCGTGACCGACTTGGGTGTTTTCATGTGGGTATGATACGGTAATGGGATTAACATGGCGTACCTAAACCCACATTGAGATAAGCTCAATGAGGCCCTATTAAAAATACATTGCTGGCAACAATGGAGTTACGGAGGAAACGGGTGAGAGTGTGTCTGACTGTGTGTGAGTTTGATAGAAAACGTGCCCAACCGTGCTTTAAAAAGAAACACCATGCACTTTCTAAATAACAAAAGGGTCAGTGATGGCTTTTTCAACACTCCTTATTTCCTATTCTTGTGTATTTTCTCCATTTGTCCTAGGGTTGGTTGGGTGTAGTTGTTTGAAATGGGGAAAGTGGAACTGACTACAAAGCACAAAGAAGAACCATTAACCAAAACAGGAAAAGGGCTGTAACATTCAACTCATGTGGGTCAAAAAAAATTGTACTGATGAGTGTTGTATGTATACCAAACACTGACTGGGTAAGCAAGCATCAATTAACATAAGGGGAATGCGTGCTGTTTGACTGATTGAGAAAATAAGACTAAACGGATGTAAATTTAGCTCCTGATGAACACATCTTTTGCCTCCTCATATAAGTTCATCCCAGGTCCATTATTAAGTTTATGTATAATCTGCAGTGTTTGCAGGGAAGGGGGTGCCACTGCTCATATACATTAATACATCAAATATTCAAGGGTGCAAGAGTATGCCAAAGTCTTCTAAGGAGTTTTAAGATACATTTTAGGTTTAAGACTATTAGAAAAGCCAAATAAAAATAAAGAGGATACATTGTAGAATGCAAAACTGCATAAAGGTAACTAATACAAGCTCAGGGAGGGTCTTACCGGTGTTGTTGCGAAAGGGGCCTGTATCCGGCCCTTGGCTCTGGCTAAGGCTCCTCATGGGGCCCTTGTTGTGGTAGACACGTTCTTCATAGATGGGATCTATGTGGTGCTCTGGGGACCCCAAGGGCCGAAGGGGCTCCTGACTGTGCTGACTACTGTAGGATCCACGAGAGCCTGGGGAAAAGAGAGATGGAAAAAAAAGATATAAGAAAGATAAGAGGACAGAGGATGAAAGAGAGAGGACAAAATGAGGGAGAGGTGCAGTGCATGAGGTAAGGAAGGGTGGCACAGAGGGACTGAACACATGTATTTTAAGAATGTAAGGAAAAATGAAGATGGGTTGCAATTTCATGCAGGAAATGGAAAGGAAGTAGAATGGGTTAGACACAGAGGATAAAACAAGATATACAGAGGATGTGAGAGAGAGGATAAAGAAATAAATAAGAATGCGTGAATGTGGCAGAGGATGGATGGGTACCCAAGAGAGTCAAGAGAAAAGAAAAGGAACAGGTGTGGAAATGAAAGTCGGTAACAATGATGATGAGAGGGAAGAAAGGGAAAGGAAAAGACAAAAGGCAAGCCTACATGACTTCTACGTTTTCAGACTTGTCCATTTTCACCCTGCACTTGATGTTACATAGCGGCAAGTGACAGACAGTACACTGTTTATAAAAGGGAAAGATAAGGGTGCTGGTGTGTGTATATGTTTATAAGAATAGTAGGGGAAGTGGTGAGTCTCTCTCTTGTAAGAGATATGCCAAATCAGAAGTACAAAATAAATGACAGAAAAATAAAGAGAGAAATGCATAGCAACATATGAGATAGGAAGAAATAGGCAGACACGGAGAGAGATGGAGAAAAAAGAACGAGAGACAGAGAGGGATGCCTCTGTATTTCATTTTTTTAATCTCCACTGAACACATTGCTGGTCGTCAGCTATAAAATAATAAGATGTACTGTAGTGTCCCCCCTCTTGCTCTGTGTTTGGCAGGAATCCCACAGACACAAGACATTGACAGCAGGCATTTGTTCATTACACAGCAGAACAAATGTAAGGCCTCCCCCTGAAAACCCAGAGTGCAAAATTAAAATCAGGAAAGAGAATAAAAGGAGGAAGCTGGGGGGGAATATGAAGACAAGTCAGCGGGGCTTGGGTGAAGATAAAGTGAAAAGACGTGCACATACTCATATATACACACAGACTTAGAAAGCCACGAGTGACTGAGAGAAAGAGAGACGGTCCAGTGGAGTTAACGTCGTATCATATCGCATTAGCTCTCAGTCGATGGCAAGTCGCGTGCCAAGGATTTTCCAGAGGATCAACAGGGACGAGTGCAGCGCTTTAGGACTCTGAATCAAACCTCGGTGTGTATCCACCATCAACTTAACACAGTCAAAATCTCACAACCCTTCAGATCATATCAGAAATCGATGCATGTGAGGCACTCAGCCATCTCAGTAGTATCAAGTGAATGCTGTAGTATTTGTTCCAGCCTAGGATCGTGTCTATTTCTTGTCTTAACTGTCCCATAAAGTCTTTCCAAGAATATTTTAGAGACAAATCACTGTGAATAGAAATACAGTTTAGGAGTCTGTTATTATCCTACACCGCCAGTTTTCAAGGTAAGGTGGTGCAAGGGGATGGACAAGAGCCTGCCTGCCTGCTCTTCCTGTACCAAATAATAAAGCAGTGGTTTGCCTCAGTATGCCTGTCTTGGGCATGACTGTGGCAAAGACACTAAAACGTTTTACTGTGTCCTCCTTTCAACAGCGTGGTTAACTGACTGGCCTGTTTACCTGCCTTGCTAACGAAAATGTAGGCTGCCTCCTGTCACACTCTGCTAGCCAGCAGTAGCCAGACAGAGAAGACAAACAGAGAGACGAAGAGAGAGTCAGAATAAGGGAGAGAGAAAATGAGATAAAGGAGATCTTAAAGTTTGAACACTACGACACCCACTGAGCTCAACTGAAATTAGGTGAATTTAGAAGCAGATAGACAGTGGGAAGAGAAGCAAGAAAAGGAGAGAGTTGGTCAGAATATGCATGAAGGAGTGCTAATTAGAGTCATGGACACACCCATTAATGGCATGACTCATCCCAGCTCCCTCTCTTCCTTCGTGCCTTTCTTCTTTGAAGTCTTGGTGAGTCGGTTTTATTTCTTTATTCATTTATTTTTTTGACTCACAAGGGCCCACTCCTGGAAGTACTGACCTCTTTCTTTCAAAGGGAGAGGGAACTTTAAGAAGAGATGATAGAGTGATGATGCACAGAGAGAAAAAAGAGAGAGATGCCCTCCCATGATGTTTAATTCTGTAAAATATTTAAAAAAGATAACAAAATGTAAAAACCAACTCCTGTCCCTTAAGGGCTCGGTCCTGTTTGTGTAGTTAAAAAGAAAGCAAACTAAATATCTCCTACACCTACAGTATGAAAGAAGATATTACATTGTTTGCTTTTTCATATGAACCATGTCCTATACCTACTGTAATTCTACCCGACATGGGTGGTATATCTGTCAAGTTAAGACTCAATATCAAAGCTGATCCCATACTTCCAACAATTTTCTGGGCCAGGCGAATCAAAAATAGAACAGGACCATATATTAAAATATCCAAGGGATCACTGCTGTGCCTGAGGCTCCAATGTCAACCCGTAGTCAGTGTCAATGCCAATGAAGCTCAATCTCTAAATATCAGCCTACATCTCGGTTTTAGTAACTGATAACTTTTAATTATGTTTATTTGCTAAAAGATCTTCGTCATTCATTTTCTTCAGCTTGGTTTTATGCTATTGCGATATTTATACACAATGGACTGTAGCACTCAGGCCATTTCATGCAGAAAGCACAGAGAGGGAAATTCTTTTTTTAGGTGATTTCGGTTTTACCCAGCTTAACTCCACTGTAGAGTAGGTGCTGTAGAGCTGTTAAGTACCTCTCCAAACAGGCTACTCAGATGAACTCTACCGTGCTTTTTACAGGAGAATATCACCCACTGGGGATAAGCAAAACTCTGACTAACAGTATCTACAAATAATTCTAGGTTGGCAGGATTTTGGAAATATTGCCAGTATCAAAAATGACGGACAATTACAGTGAAGCATTTCAAAATGAATTTCCAGTGCCGATAAGTTGCCTTTAAATTGTTCTGATATAATCAACCACAGTGTGGTAGTCCAAGCTCATGAAAGCAAATTTTGATAATCATATGACCCAGGTCTGCTAATTATAGTGACAGTCCAGGATCTCTTTTCCACCGGGACTCATGCTCAGTCCTCAGTTATTTTCTTCTTTATTTAAAATGTCCACAAGAGATGAAACCCCAGGTGTTATGTCCTCAGGGTAAAGCCATGAAGGTCATGTTCTTCATCAGTATGGCTCCAAGTTTAAACCAATTAAACTTACTTCAGAGCTTCAAAACAATGACACCTGGTTAAATCAATATTAATCTTGTCAAATATTGCATTTATGTAAAAAAAGTCAACCTGTGGCAAATTTTCAAAATCTTAAAAACCCCTGAAAAATTCAAATTAAAACTGAGATAGTAACATGAAGAGTAGTAAAGCTACTTCTTATGCTTGGCAGCACAGTGCATACATTTGACTCAAGCCAGATGAAAGAAGAAGGTCTACTCTCAGTTGTACTTACAATACAAGTCTTGAGAATTTAAAGTCCTAGAAACAGTGGGCTATCTACAGTATTTAATTTCAACAGGCACAAACAGCCAACCTCAAATAAAATTTTAAACTATGCCACTAGGACCATAAACAATTTCCACAACACATTTTCATTTTATGTTTGACATTCAGCCAACTCAATTTTGTAGAGTCAATGCAATTGCAGGAGCAAATAGTCTCTTTTAGCTTGATGCTGCCTGTACTAAGACCAGTGTCATTCTAAAACATTCAACTCCCAGACACAGCAAACAGATCTTACTCGTAGACACAATTAGAATCAGAATCATTTTAATCTTCTTAAAGCAGGTTTCTGTCTGGCAGTTACAACAGACCTGTTCATAAACAGCTTATAATTCACAAATGAAACTGCCGAACAGCTAGTAAATTCATTTTGTTCTTCTTTTGAAAGGGCAGCCACAAATGTGCTCTGACACCTTTCGTGAGCAAGAGCTGCGAGTGGACAGAATAGATAGCCCCTCCTATGTTGAACAAAAGAAGAAAGATATGGATAGAGTAAGGTTACTCATTTCCTGTGGTGGACTAACATGTTTGGGTTTATGTGTATGAGCATGTGAAACTGCATGAGTGTGTGAATTCCCACCTGCCAGACTGCCAGGCCTCTGCAGTGTAGCAGTAGCGTAGAGCTCGTGGGAGATCTTGTACTGGTCAGAAGCGTGGTGAGCTGCCAGACGTTTGGGAGACAGAGTGGCATAGCTCCCTATGCCTGAACTCATCTGCAAAGACAAAAGTTTTTATTGTAAATAAGCCCAGGGGATGTACAGGGTGAAGTCTATACACTGGTGTAATTACTTCCTGTAAGATTACAGTGTTTTGGCAGCCACATTTTTAACAGCTGACATGCCTGATATGTTTCGATTTCTGTGGTTCCGTTTGCGCCAGTATTTTTTTTCCCAATTTAATTTGCCAATTTACTTTGGTGTCTATATTCAACTGAGAAACTTTTTGTAAAATGAGCTTATAAATTGAAATTGGCACTATGTGTAAACCATGTCCAAACCACTTAAGAATGTAATTTAAGAGGAGAACCCCCACGGTAAAAATACTTATTATCATGGTCCAGTGTGAGATATTGGATCCAACAAATGTACCTAAGAAACTACAGTTTAGATAAGGTGCTATTTGAAAAGATTACACTAAACTAAAACTGAGTTGTATAGATTTTAGTTTATAGATATGAATCAATCTGTAATTGCTCTGGAGCTGCAAGATGCTGTTCTTTGTCATGATTAAAGATCTGACAAAGTGGACAAGAATATAATCCTCCCTCTAACTCCCAGCTGCCTTGCATCAATCAATAGAATGACTATATAATATTATACTTAAATAGAATAGTACAACTGTCAATTACAGCTCTGTTAAAAAAACTAATATCGGGCATTACCACTGACAAATACAGTACTTAAATATAATCTTTGTACTATTATGCTGCACACAATAGCCACAGTAAACACTTTCTAAATCTAATGTCTATAACGTCCTCTGTAATTAAAAACACAACGTAAATCTGTGGAAAAATAGACATACAATAAATGTGCACTAGGAGATAATAGAGATAATAAAATAATTATCAATCCAGGTCAGGATAATACTGAAAAGAGACTGGTCGCAGGAAAAATCAACATACTTTGATCTCACAATTTACTTCACTGAAGAAAGGTGATTGGTTCTGTGTGCACATTAAGTTCAGCAATTTTTACATTGATTTTACTCAGAGTTCTAGAATAGTTTATAATCGCACTAACTCTAGTATTGTTGCTGTTGCCTTGGTTTTATTCATTACAGTACATACATTACAGTGTACAATCGGTAGCATTTGTAATGTAATTTGAATGCATGTTTCACATAAAAGTATTTATATATTATTTATATTTAAATCCCTGGTAACACAAAATGCATTTCTTTTCAACAGGTGCAAACATTGTAAGACTGTAACACTGTACCTGGTGAAGAGGGGACGATGATGAGCTGGCCCCTCCCCCTGCTGCTGTAGAGTTAGGTGGAGATGCGACCCTCAGGGGAGACCCGCCCCCTCCTGCTGTTGTCACAGCAACTGTGGTGCTGGGAGACAAATGAGTAAAGTAAAGTTATGTATATGATAAATAATGAGTTAAAATGATTCATTCCACATCACATCACAGACAATGTCACATGCCTTTATCATGTGTGAAGTCACACATGATAAAGGCATGTGACACTGAAGTGTGTGAGTTTTTATTCACTGCATGCTGGTATATATTGTAGGGGTATTAACTCGAAAGACAATCTTTCCTTTCCATTCTATTCTACTGTAGTCACTCATTGTTTATTTATCTTTCCTCGTATACTGTCTTTAAAACCTTTAAATGAGGCTAATATGTCAAATACAGTAATTCTTTCAAATGCCATTCCCTTTATCTACCTTAAAAACCCATCCTCTATTATAAATCACTTTCAACGACAATACATCAAAATCAATATTAATGTCACAATCACTGTGGCTCTCAACCTGTATGACTTGGCCAGTCGATTAGCAGGAGACTGTTTGCTGGGAGAGGAAGAGGAGGAAGGCAGGCGTTGAGTGGTAGAGTACCCCGGTGCGTCGGAGGCTGACCCCAGGCGCTGGAGTTTACTGGGAGAACCGGATCCCGAGCCTCCTCCTCCTCCAGACAGAGGGGAACTGACACGCTGGGCGGGTAAGGTGGAGCTGGAGTAGTAAATACCTGGAAAACAGGGGAAGGGAGAGAAAACTCAGTAAACACAGGAAGCAGAAGAATGAGTTTGAATTTGGTGAGGCTGATATCGATGATTTGGAGTACAGATACAGGTAGGACATCTAGGAGCAAAACACATTTTACAACGGTATTGGAGTCCTTCCCAGAGAAAAAAAGGGTTGTCTCCACAGAGCTACAAGTTGCTGTAGATGATTGGGGAGAATTGCCTTCCCAATCTAAACCTGAGTGGTGCGTTGTTATTGGACTTTTGTGCTAGTCATGGTATGGGTTTGATGATCAACTTTGTGGTCGTATCATCAGACCTGCAGCTGTTTGTCTTGGACACTAAGGTGGAGCAGAGCTGTTAGTGAGTTGGATCAGATGCTGGGGGAGGCTGCCGGAGAGACCTGGTAAACCCAAATGTGTAGTACGGGTGAATTGGAAACAGCTGGCTGAAGCCTTGGCAGTATCTTTAACCCCCACCTCCGGAAGAATATCTTATGCATCCCAGAGAAGGCTGGGGATAGCAGGGGAGTAGAACTGCTGACCTTGACTGGGGATGTTGTTGTGAAGATGTTGGAAAAGCTCTTTGAGGAACTCCTTCACCCAAACAACATGTCTCCTGCTGGACTGCTGGTTTGAAGACCAGAGTTTGAATACTTGGTGGAAGCCTTACGATGTTTTTAAGAATCAATACATTATCTCAAAACTAAATATTGTGATATGTGTTATTTTTCTATATTTTGTAACCCCCCTATTTATGAGGGGCACAGTGGGGCTATGAGACATCCAGTCCTTATATAATCAGAGTGAGAACTGTGTTCATATTCTCGGCAAGAAGTCAAACACGTGACTGACAGAATGAATGCGGGTACAAGACGCCAAAATAAATTTGAGCTCATCCTTAGTGATAGGGTAATAAGACAAGACATCTGGAGGGAGCTTGGAGTAGAACCACTGCTCCATTGCACTGAAAGGAGTCAGTGATTCGGGCATCTGACCAGGATGCCTTCTGGCCTTCCAGGCAAATACAACCGGTAGGAGATCCAGATGCTGGAAAGACTAGACCCACCACACCAACCCCAAATAAGCAGCAGAATTTTACCTAAGTAAAAATACATGCTGTATAGGGACATCTTGAGTGTGATCATCAGTGCATAAGTCAATAAAAAAAAGACTGAAAACACAAAGCTGGATAGAGTAGAATATAGCCAATTTAAGTAGTACCATACATCAATCCTTTAGCACAAACCATAGAGGCTCCAGAGGTGGGAGGTAATATGTTTATAAATGAATGGAGAAGCGAAACAACATGCGAGAAAATTATAAATACAGCAGGCTTTGAAAACATTCTACTAGCAAGGTTTTTATTCCAATTCTCATGCATGTCTGTCAGTGTCTGCAAATGTCATCTCTGTGTATCCACAGCGCTTCATGCTATGTCAAATTAATTTATTATAAGGAAAATGCATCTCCATGAAGAGAGAGGGAGAAGGGTAGGGAAGAGAAGGAGAGGTGAGCTCTTACCTGACCCTGCCCCAGATTGTGATTGTTGCTGCTGGGCTGCACGACTAGATGTCACCTGAGGTGATGCAGGGAAAGACAGAGCAAGTGAGGGAAGAAGCGCCATGACAAGGAAGAAGGGATGAATAGAGGGAGTGATTAGTGGGTGAGGGAGAAGTTGGGAGGAGGAAAAGGGAGAGACAGAGTTAAGAAACATGGGATAAAAAAGAATAAAGTAGTAGTAGTTGCCATCAAAAAGTTTTATGCACAATGAGTTCAGTCAAGCCTTTGAGGAGTCCTGAATGGACCTAGAGCAGCTAGTAATGAAATCCCCAAAGAAACCGAAGGGTGATTCAAACAGACTCATAGAAGCAGAAGTCGTAGGAGCTCAGCTGACTGAAATCATTTGTCACAAAGCCTTGTTACACCACCTACTCAAAGTAGACAGAAGGATTACAAATCCATGGTATATTCATGTCTTAATATCTATCACCTGTCATCATAAACTCCAATCTCGCAAACCCTTTAAATAATTTAATCCGTTATTAAAATTAGATAAGAATAAGACAAACCCCATTGCTGTAAAATCAATCAAATTGATTTTGCATGGTATAATATCATACACTGTAAGTCAACAGTGCAGCCTTGACTGCAGTGTGCAATTAATTCCTTACAGATAAAGTCATGTGTGAGGCAAAGTTAGAGCATGAGATGCCTTCTACCACATACCACATGCTGGTCTATCCTAATATATTCTCCTTAGTCTCCAGAGACAGTAGGGGGGAGCATATGCCTGTGCTCAACTGAGCCTCGTATAGCCTTATGTTGATGTGTATAGCTGTAAAGGTGATTCAAATACATTATTACTAGCCTGACATGGCTGCAGTTGTACAAGGCCACATTACGCAGGCATACAGTTACTAAGTCACCTTGGAGCACTGCATATACAGTAGTTACTCTCAGGCAGCCAGATAACTTAGAATACACAAACTTTCTGATTGTTAGCATTAAACTTACTAATACAATTTCATACAATGACACATCATGAGAGGTTACCAAAAACATATATATATATTATTAGATTAGCTTCATTAACAAGGTGAAAATAAATTGTTTGGTGTTAACACTGCACATGTACACTTATGCATGTACATGTATGCAAACACACAATGTGAATGAAACATCTGATCATCCAATAATCAGTCTCACAAAATGCAAACACACTCCCACACACATCAACAATCTGGAGTTACGTTAGAAGGCTGTTTGTAAAAGGTGTGAAAATAAAGCATGCCTGCTCAGCAAACATTCCCTGGATAAATATAGCAACACACACAAGCACACAATCTCCTATTATGTTCTCAATGGCAGTCTCTGGTTTTATATTCCTGCTTCATGATGAGTCAAAGCATGTCTGCTGAAGACAACGGGCCATTGGTTCCAGCACTGCTTTGTAGAGGGGTCACAGAAGCTGATTTATCTCTGGCTGAGTGGATTAGAAATCTCTTCCTAAAAAATCTGACTTACAGTTTATGGAAGCAAAAAGGCAGAGTTATAGAGAAAGGGAGACATCAATAAGGACCAAAAGAGTGGCAAATTGGTCGAACAGGTAAAATATATAAGTAAGCTATGGTACAGTAGCTTCTATATATCTTCTTGCATGTTCTTGACTCAGTAACATGACACTGTGTGTTTCTGCCTCTGTGTTCTTGTTTGTGCGGAGATGCTGAAAGGGTACAGTGTAGCATTAAACCTTGAGTTGCTAGATCCACCCTGATCTCAACACATGAGAAGAAAATCCTGACGGAAGCAGTAACTTAACCTGGCTCAACTATAAAAGATGGGGTGAGGTTTACTCTCAAACCAACAACACGGGATGGTAAATATACTGATATAATCATTGCTACAGTCAAAATCTGTGGACATGAAGATAAAAAGGGCTAAACTTAAAGAAAGCTGCTTAAAAAGGGTCCTGGGTCCCATTGAGAATCAGCTATGAGTACACACCTTATTAGTTTCTAAAATAGCTGTGTAGCAAGAACAAACAGATTAATGACACACAAATGACTCTTCTTCTAAAATCCAGTCTATTTTTTCAGCTCATTCCAAAAAAACACGAATAGTTATGTCATAAAGTTATGACAGAAAGGCATAATTCATTATTCTTATTACTATTACTACTCTCATTTCTGGCTAACTATTTTAACACAGTTCTGAGTAGAAACTTTGATCAAACTTCAAAATGTTGAGCTTATTAAGGACATTATCGAAATTACTGTTTGTATTATTCATACTTATAATTTTTTTTAACATATTTTTCCCCCATCCAAATGAGTTAGAGAGGGTGACATTACATGCAGGGTGGGATTAAGTTGTAGAAATATGTAACTATTTAAGACTGAAACATTTTGTGCTATGAGTGCCATCCACCTGCCCCACTGACTCCAATGTTAACCGAGACCAGAAATTTCAGGAACTAAACACTACCTCTCTCTAGCATCATGTAAAACTCTAGGTAATATGAATCACGCTTCCCAGCTTAATCTCTATTGAATGAACTATCTGTAACAGGAGCCACTAAGTATGCAGTTGAATCACCATTGCAAACCTGGTGTTATTAACGCCATATATGTAAATACATTCACTCACGTTTCTGTAAGTGGGCATTTTCAGACTGGAAAAATAAATAGTATAAATGGGATTATGTGTTTAAATGCATCACTATCCATAAATTTACTGAAATATCCTGGGGAACGCACCCAACCCTTTCTAATAGCTGGATATACAGCTAACAATGGATTACTACAATTAGTTGCAGTCTTTAAAAAATGTTTGAATATTTGAGGTGATAATTGAACCTATGGTAAATGCATGTGTAAGTGTTTCATTTATACAATGTCATTAGATCTATTTGTTTGAGTGCACATGGATAAAGGGTTATTAGAGAGTGGATTATTAAAAGTGTCTATAAACAGCCAGAAAGACATGTTAATCAGGATGTGAGCCACTATCCAGAACAGTGTGCACCATAAAAATCTGCTATATAAGTCCCCTGTGTTAGTTTAGTAGGTTATGAAGCCAATTGAGAGATCCAAAGCTGATGAGATGCAGGCCACAAAACTGAGTTTAAGAACCTTATTAATGGTTTATGTTACTTGAGTGTGTTCAACACTGCATATGTGTCATTGAGATGCAAAGTGAGACAGAAGTGGACTGATGAAGACTGATGAGCGGGGAAATGAAGAAATTAACAGCTGGATGGGTGATGGGTAAATAAATGATAAGTATAGATGAATTGTTGGCTGAGGTAACTAATAGATTGAAAGCCTGACACGTTGTGTGGTGGAGAGCACATACTCAATCCCATTCTATGTCATCTTGCATTGCTGCTTCTTCTCTCCTCCAGTAAAACACTGGGATGTTTGAGGTGCCATGTATCCATGCATTATTAAAGCAGGACCTCTCAGGGTTATAAATACTCTACAGAAGAGTAGCAACATGCTAGACCTTTCACTTTCTCTCTCAATCTCCCTGAAAGTCACTTGTGTAAACTTTAAAGAAATGCACCCCCCCCCCAAAAAAAAATTAAANNCCTGCCTATCGAGCAGCACTGGCTTGCATAAAGCTATTCATGAGCAACAACCCCTGCTGACAACACTGGCCCCATTACACTGACAAGCCAAAAAACATCAGAGAGGAAGATACACACATACACACACATGCAC